CAAGTTTTAAGAAAGAGAAATAAGTAAATTAATTTAAAGTTTATAGGGGTCTAAGCTGCTGTTAATTAGTAAGAGCTGGATCGGTAAGACACCATACGCCAATCCTTTATTGCTATGTCAAAACTGATTGACAGACTTTAATTCCTATCAACTAAGAAAGTAGTATAAAGATTGAGTCAGAGCACTGGTAAATAAACAACTAATACAGGTCAAGTGTAAAAAACGTATTTTAAATAAAATAAAACAAAATATTGTAGTTAATAACATACACCAAGAGTTCATTACATCAGTCAATATCAAAGTTCATTAACAATGTGAGGAAGAACTATCAGAATCAGCAAAACGTAGTTTAATAGCCTTGAAACATAAATATCATAACACTGAAAACAGGTCATTGTGTTTGACGAGAAATCAAAATAAATTCCACCTTTGAATTATTTTAAAAAGATTTAAAAAGAGTGAGAAATATTACAATAATTTCTGACACTTTATTAAGAGTAAATATAGTAATTAAAATATTTTTCAAATAAGGAAAATTCGTTACACATACGTAACTATATACAATAAGTGATGACAAGTTGAGAATTAAAAACATATGACTCTAATATACAGGGTGTATATATAACAGAAAGATGATATATTATATTGTAAATATTTAAAAAGTACAAGTCCCAATTATTAACATATTAATATTGGTTTAGATATCAATTTATTTATCAGTTTATAGTCATTAGGCACAATAATATGCAATACACTGTAGGTTATTTTATAAGTCAGATTTATGTAAAGCTATCGCTAAAATTGTCTGCAATAAGCAGCTATACATGTATTTATAGGTTAAGGTGCATTTGAATTTTCGCGTAAAAAGTACTAATGCGAACTAAAGTCCGCTTACGGGAGTGCGACCGTTCGGAAAGTAATAACAGTGCGATTTGTGACACTGGAGAGACTCATCACGATGGAGAGACTCATGTTTCACTGTTTGATGTACAGCCACACGTCCATTGTCGATGGAGGACTAGACAATTACCTCAAGAAGATGGGAGCAGAAGAATGCTGAAATATACACCGCTACTGATCGATACGACTCTACAATAGGCTAAATAACCTGGGAACAATACAAAGACAACAGTTGTGAAAGTCAATTGTCACAACTTACAGAGGGCACGTTGAAAAGACCACTAATAAACAATCACTAGAAGAATTGGTAATAGTAGAACAAGATAAAAACATATTTGCTCTAACGCTACACAAAAGGGCTATAATATGTAACACAGAAGTATGACAAACTAAACACCGCCGAACCCTAATAAATTTCCTAGTAAACACAAAATAAATCCTAGTATGCCATTCCTACCTCAAAACGTAGACCTAATGACCTACATCACTAGCAAATTCCTTTACACCAAACAATCCTACCAAAGAGAAATAGAAAAGCTATACTTAGACACAGTACTGCGACGATGCCAAACAAAAAGAGAAATTAAAAAAAAAAAACAGATTACTAATGGCCCCATCCTTACCTAATGCCGTCAGTCAACTCATGCAGAACAGGCCAGGGTACACATGCAGCAAACACATACCAGATACCAATGTAGCAGAAGTATAATGCGACAAAGCAAAGCAGTAGCAACCTGAGACGACCACCCAGCAAGGACAGACCAATGGAGGCAGACAGCAGCAGTTACGCATCAATATAGTTAACTCGACACGTGGAATTGGCAAACGGACATTAAAACAGCCAAGACGTCGCGAGTGAAGTGCGGACAATTCCCTCAGGGATACGCGATAAAGTGAACGCAAAACGCGAGTACAATCGTATAGAACAATTAGAATACGCTTGTCGTAATGGACACATGTAATCACGAACAATTGTAATAAGTTAGGAAAGTTCTTTCACTTGTTAAGTTTCAATAAGATTAATACAAGATTAACTCAACTTGTCATACACATAGGTTCAATACGGGGGCAGCACGATACATTCGCTGACCACGGTACAATAGTCTATAAGAAACAGTAAATGATAAAATATAAATTGGGACTTATATAAAAATATATATAGTAGATTATAAGTAATATAATATGTAAATAGATAAATTTATTGTTGGAAAAGGAAAAGGCCCCTCGGCCCTTTTCTTTTTTTGCGTAGGGAGTAATGTAATGTAAGCGTAGCAAGTGAGTGAGAAGTTGGAATAAAGGGATAATGGAACAATAAGTAGCATAGAAAAGATAATAATTATTCGAGATAATTATTATATATTCCAAATTAAATAAGGGATAATTAATACAGTTAACTTATACATTTAAATTATACAAAGTATAACAATTGACCTAGTTATTGCATTGTTTGATAATTGTTTAAACGTATAAAAAGCACGAAACATCCGTGACCCAAATAGGCAGCAATAATACCAAAACTGCAACTCAGCGAACCTACGACCTTGGTACTAGAACCGGCGTTGAAAGTACGACCACAATAAAACAAGAAAAAACGACGGACGCCAGACAGTCGGTAGTTAGTAATGAGTAGTCAGTAATGGGCAGTCAGTAATAGCGGGCCACCGTGACTGGGACGCGACAGCGTCCCGTACGCGAACAGTACAGGACAGTCGGTGATTTTCCGGGGGCCGGGTATCTTCTGGCAGAATTCGCGTGTAGTCCGGTTATTGTGGCCGCTCGAAAGTTCGCAACCCTCAACTGACCGAGTTCCAGAAGACTGAACGTGTCGTGGTTGAAGCCCTAATATACACATAAGGTAACAGATTTCGTTATACTAACCTGTGTAATTATATTAGTACCTCTGTCAACTCTTCACTATCTTGCTACATCGTCTCCCGACGCGCAGAATAACGTGTTAACGATTGTATTAGGAACTTCAGGGTAGATTCAATATATTGTTGACTCTAATTTGGTTTTTTTTTAATGTTCCTTTCGTCCGACTCACTAGAGACTAGGAGAACACGAGATTCTGCGTATACATATCTCCGGCTTCAAAAGTAAGCCCATAACCTCTACTCTTTACAGGACCTGAGACCGAGGAGTCCTTACCCCTATCCCGAAATCCCTTATCTTCTCGTAAATCCACGAAGACGAGCCAGCCCTCCAGACCAGTGTGACCAGTATTCCTTGCAGCCGCTCGCAGGGTTAGCATCCCTTGAGGATCTATTGTGTATTTCATTTGGTGACAGCGTTTCCATTACCCTCATATAACGCTCTCATTATTATTCTTTTACAATACAAATGTCATTAACAACAATTAAACATCATTTTATTTATAGTAATATTAAAAGTACAATTAGTTAATGAGGCATTTTCAAAATTGAAACCGTGCAAAAATGTTCCCGACTCTTGATACGCATTGGTAATTGTTGATGATACTGATGGTCGAGAACAACTTTCAGCAATCATTCCCGATGTTGGCGAATCATGAGGGTTTAAAATTTTTTGAGCATTATCGTTCTTATTTCTTGTTGAATCCTCTATATATCCTTCGGCAACCGTGCTTGATTTCCAGCCGCCATGTCGTTTGAGGCATTCTAGATTTTCCTCCATCAATTAAAAGTGTTGCTGAAGTTCGTCGTAAAGAGTGACCCGTGTATGCCCTTGCATCGTTTAAATTTAAATAACTAGCTACTTTTTGGGCTACTGCGCTGATCGAATGTATTCCCATGACGCTTCGGTAACACTTTCCATATTGGTACTTGATAAAAAATCGGTTTTCTGTGAAATTTTCAGGCCGCAGTGATGCATACTTTTTATACAGTTTAATGTAGTTTTGATTAATTATCGTAAAAGATCTAATTTGTCGTGTTTTACTGTCTAAGATTTTAATAATTATTACATTTTCTTTATCCTCAATGTCTTCATTTTTACCATTTCGTCGCATTGACAGGCACCGGTAACCCCAATTAACAAAACAATCTGACATATTTTTATGATTTAGTAGAGTATACTACATGCTTTGCAATATAATTTTTTTTACCTTTAATCCTAAATACAACTTATCTAGCGCTTCAAACAAAAATTTATCAAACTCGTTTTTAGTGAAAACTTTAGACTTCTTTGCAGTATATCCTTCGCTTGTTTTTTTTTTTCAGAAAGGCACGTAACTTTAAAAATTTGCTTATATCTACATTTTTTCTAATAACTAACTCGGATTTTATCATAGAGTATCGTGACCACATTGTGGAAGATTTCCATTTATTTTTATTTTCCATTATATTAAAATATGCCAGTAAAACGTCTTCGGTAACTTGCCGTACTCCTCTTGTATCGCACCACTCTTGGAAGTGCTTGTACGCTAACCGATACTTTATTCCGGACTTGGAGGGCCCCAAACGTGCTACTGCATCATAAGCCGCGGACTCAATTTCGTTTAGGTTTTCCATTTTCGCACTAAATTTGCGCTTGCGGTTGCAACAACAATAAGCTGTCTTTAATAATTGCAATCAACTGTCAAACAACTGTAACCAGGGAGACGCAAATCCCACCGACGACTTAATTATTTTAATTTCTATTATCTAGACGACTTTGATAGTTGTCACAGTTAATTTCGAGTAAAAATAGCGTATGAATTGTACTATTTATAGTTGAAAATTGCTACGTTTGAAGAAAAAATAGTATACTTTATTCGGCAAAGAAGCGACTTTTCTTGACTTGCCCTCTATTAAGCGCCTCACTTCGTTCGGCGCGTAATATCGGGCGCGTCGAGAAAAGTCATGCTTCTCCGCCTCATAAAGTAATATACTATTATATAGAATTAGAAAGCCCATACTCATTATAATCTTTTCATTGTTTGTACCTAGGGTTAAGATATTGTATTTAACCTTTTGTTATAGAAATGAATTATGTATTATTAACCAAAGGGAAAGCCAGTTTTAAAGCAAAAATTTTAGTTTCTCAGGAAACAGTAATGGGGTTTTTCTTAATATTTTTTGTCGCTATGTAGAAAGAGAAAATAGCGATATAATGTCTAAGGAGGTTTTGTCTTTTTTTTGCAGAATTTTCTTGATAAAGTAGTCAACACTTCACAAGAGTTTATTGCTATTCACGATATGATCAATCGTTATATGACTCTATTGAGTGCTAAGCAAAGTTTAGCGAAGTTACAAGAAGAAAATTTGGTAGCCTTAGAAAGAGCAAAAAGCGATATGGTAAGATTTTTAACATTTGCGTTAGCTATTTTATTTACAGATTGTAGTAAAATTTTAAAAGTAGCTTAGTCACTCTGTCCTTTAACTAGTCTAGAGTTTTTGTCTATAAGTTTAACCTATATAAACTCTAGAACGGCATTATTGCTAGCAATTTGATTACGGTTATAGGAGCCACATCTTTTATTGCAATCCATGGTATCTGTTATCTTCTTTCTCAAAATATGGTCCAGGTATTCTAATTTGCGCTTTTAATATGATTGTATGCATGATCCGTATTCCTTTCCCATTCATTCACTCTTTGAAGTAAATAAATTTCGGTTCATGCTCTTGCTTCTCGTACAATAACAATACAACCTAACATGAAGAGACAATCCACGACGAAACGTATTAAGGCTCTCTAAGAGACGACGATATTCTATTTCGAGGTGAAATTATTTAAGTATTTTTTATTATTTCTAGATGAAATTGATTGAAGAGAAGAACTTTATAATAATGGGTCTTAACAATCAGATTGCCAATCTTCAAACGCGATTTGAAAACGCAAAAATTAAGTCCATTGAATGTGAACAATTAGTACTACAAATCAAAAATAATGCAGTAAGTTATTATTTCATAATTTTTTTGGTTTTTTTTTTGTAACAAAAAAAAATGATGACGATAGTATATTCACCCTGTTCAGGATGAGTGGCGGTGCATTGGTGAGTTGTCTACGAACTAAATTAAAACCAAAAGAATGTAATATGTATTTAAAAATCTGTAAAATGTCAAAAATCATATTTCATCTTTTTTCCTTCCTTTTCATATATAAACGAAAAATGTGACTATTTTTAAATAAATGGTTAAACAATGAGAGTTTACAGATAGGTCATTAAAAATTTTATTCCAAATATCAATATTTTATAGTGTATTTTTATGTATGAGAGAGTAATAAAACAATAAATTATGTATGCAAATCCCTAAACTGTTGACACGGGTGACTCAATGAAAAACAGATATTTGTCAACAAATTTACAGAAGTATATAGGAAAACAATTTTAAATTGAGTATGCCCACCAGGTATAAAGGTTGGAGCAGAATAGAATACAATAGTTGTGAGGGTTACTAATCCCTAAATAAGGTTGCCAGTGTCGGAGTGATGGAGGTTAACAGGTACTAATGAATTTGCAAGAAATGTAAGATGTTTATTTTATTGGTTATATATAACCAATAAAAGTTTAATAAGTACCTACCTATTTGCAAAATAAAGTTTAATTCTTTAGATCAAATAAAACGTTTTATTTTATCTGAAATGAGTGCATTCCACGAAGTAAGGGTTTCAACAATCAAACATTTAATTCTTTAATTCCAGGAATCTACGACAGTAATTGACTAGATAATTACCTTCTAAACTTATTCCACAGAAAATATGATAGTGGGTTTTTCCATTTTGTAGGAAGGTCCAAGTGGCGTATTCAACATTCTTAACAGTTTACTAAAAGTAGGTACTTCAGTTGCAAGGTGCAGTTTATTGTGTATACTAGTGTTATGGAAAATTTGGAAGTGCCGTGTAAACGCCGAAAAATTTGTCCTTTAACAGTTAATGAAAAAACATTAATATTTAATTGTTTTAAATCATTTACAGACAAACGTTTATGTGAAAGTGTTGATGAGACCGTTGAGTTAGTTAGCAGTACACTTGGTGTTGGGAAATCTACGATTTACAGAGTTATTAAAGAAGAGAAATGTGGTAGTTTTTAAATGCCACGTAATGCTCCAGGGAAACCAAAATTTCAAATAGAATATCATTTTAAAGAAGGACTTTGACGGAAAGTGCATGAATTCTTCTTTAGACTAGAATTTCCAACATTGGATAAAGTTCTGAGTCAAGAACTCTATCATCTCAGTTCGAGATGATAAGGATTACCCAGAAATGAGTCGAAGTACGTTATGGAAACTTTTAAAAGAAATAGGCTTCCACTGGAAAAAGAATCCCAGAAAGTCTATTTTATTAGAAAGAAGCGATATTGTCATATGAAGAAGATATTTTCTAAGAACCATAAAGGAAATGAGAAACCAAAAAAGAAAAATATTTTATCTTGATGAAACATGGATCAACGAGGGTCATACACCAAATAAATTTTGGCAGGATGAAACTGTTATAAGTCAAAGGCACGCTTTTGTAAATAACTTATCTACTGGTTTAAACCCACCATCAGCAAAGGGACGCAGGCTGATAATAGTACACAGTGGCAGTTCAGACGGTTTTGTTGAAGGTGGTTTATTAACTTTTGAATCAACTCGTACCGTTGACTACCATGAAGACATGAACGCTGATGTCTTTCAAGAATGGTTCGAACAAATGATAGATCTTCTTCCTAAGAACTGTGTAGTAGTAATGGATAATGCAAGTTATCACTCCAGTCTTATAGAAGGACTGCCCACAACCAAGTGGTTAAAAAAAGACTGGCAGAATTGGCTGAGTTCAAAAAATATTACGTACCATCCCGGATCTATAAGAAAGGAACTTTATTCGTTGTGTGCCCTTCCTAAAGAAAAATTTAAAAAATACGAAATTGATGAAATTGCCAAAAATCGTGGAATGACAGTACTTAGATCCCCACCATATCATTGTGAATTAAACCCGATTGAACTGGTATGGGCACAGATAAAGAGTGAAGTTTCAAGAAAAAATACCACTTTTAAAATTCATGATGTTAAACAGTTGTTTTTGGAGGCCGTAAATAATGTAAAACCTGAAAACTGGGAAAAGGCAGTAAATCACACTATTAAAGAAGAGGAAAAAATGTGGAAGCTGGACAATATTACTGATAAAATGATCGAGCCAGTTATTATAAATCTTGGTTCTGAAAGTTTATCTTCTGAATCTGATTTGGATTTGTAACAAGTAGCTGTAAGTTTTATATTAATATTTTTATTCATCTATTTAACATACCTTAGACGGTTTTAAAAATTCTTTTTCTCTTTTGTAATTTTTAAAAATAAAAAAAATGTGAATTTTTTAAAACCCTTTTTAATGTAGGCCAGTCAGTTCTAATATAGTGTGTGATAAAAGAGATCACTTTTGTTTACATACACATAACACTTTATAACACTGAAATAATTAATTTATTTTTTACAATTATTCAAAGTAATTTTTCAATTAATCTTGAGCACGCCCATGGAGTAGTCGGAGGTACCAGTTAAAATTATGCTAATTACTCTCTCGTTCATAAAAATAAACTATAATAAGTACTAATGGGATTTTAAAAATTATAGAAAAGATTTTTCTAGTAAGAAGTTTGGTTAAATGGATAATCTAATAAATGTTTATGACATTTTCAGGTACAACAGCTTCACAACATTGACGAAGTAAAATCATCCATTTGGAACCTTTACACCCATATGGCACATTCGAAAATGCATCCGGTCAAAATACCAAAAGAAAATGTGGAAGAACAGATGATGTACATTAAAAGAACGCTTACGGAACTAGCGAGAGTAAATCAAATACTAAGAAAGAACGCCAAAACGCCAAAAAAAATCCAAATTAAAGACAAGATATAAATAAATAATAGTTAAAATGACTAAATAAATTATTAACTAAAATTAAATTTGATTTGTAACGGCAAGATAAAGGGAATAATTTCCTTCTTTCTTTATCGGAAAATGTCCCGTTTGTGCGTCGGAGTGATATTTTTATAGCCATCTCTTCCATCCCTTCCGGTCCCTATCTATTTCTTTAATTTGTTGAAATTATTTTCCTTTTTCTTTGCCTATTTTCAGTGATTGTTCCAACCATCCCATCCTTGGTCTTTCCTTTCTTCTCTTCCCGTATCTCCGGGATTCCATTACTTTTCTTACTAGCGGGCTCTGTTCCATACTAATAATGTGTCCAAACCAGTTTAATTTTCTTCATTTGATTTTAGATCCTATCTGTTCCTGCTTCAGTTTGCTTCTTATGTAATCATTTTTAATATGATCCATTTTTGTGACACCAACTATTTTTCTTAGTTGTTCCATTTCCTCTGCGTTCAGCGCGGTTCCATTTTGGTGTTATTAATCCATGTCTCGTTTGCATACAACAATTTTGGTATTGGTACTGCATTAGACACCTTAAGCTGAACTTCTTTTTCTATTTCCTGTTTTCCAAAAATCGTGTTGTTCAGTGCATAGTAAATTTGGTTTGGTTTCTTTACTCTGTTTAATATCTCCTGATTTATTGTTCCGTTTAGGGCAGTTTGGACTTGAAGAAAGAAATAAACGAGAAGATCGATTGGGTGAAATTGTATCAGAAGAAGAGTTTGTAATTACTAACACTTACTTCAAACTTCCATACAAAAGATTATACACGTGGAAATCACCTCAAGATACTTCAGGTCATATAGTCAGAAATCAAATAATTACATTATGATTAATAAAAGATTCCGTAACTACAATGATAAACTACAAGTATACGCAAGTTTTGTAGATCTTGAAAAAGCCTTTGATTTAATATCACGAAGGAAAATATGAAAAGCTATTAAAGAAAGAGAGATTGATTACAAGTTACTTCAAAATATTCATCAAATATCAATCAATTAATATTCTTTATTTTATCTGACTTTCACACAAGTATTGAAACGCGTCAAACTATGATCAGTAAAAACTATAAGTATATAAAAACAGATTACATAAAAACATATAAAATATACACAAAAACATACAAATTGTTAAAAAGATGCCTGCAAGTATTCCTCTAACGAATAGAAAGTGTTTGCCAGAAGTAATTTCTTAACTGTTCTCTTAAATACATAAATATTTGACTCTTCAACATAATTAGGTAATAGCCTTATTAAATAACCACGATTTAACTAACACGTACTGGTCAAAAAAACCTTCCCCTCCATTATGTATGGCTTTTAGAAATACAAGTAGTTATAATAGTGATTTAAAAAGAACTATTTCAGTCGAAAAATCTGAATTCTTTGACATGTTGGAACCACTAGAAATTAATATTCCTGTATACAATGAAAATTGGTTAATAAGTAAAAATATATTAAGCACCTGCATATCAAATCTATCATATTTTCTGGAAATATATACCGATGCATCAAAACAAAATAATGGTACGGGATGTGCATTCTATATACCATCAACAAACGTTCAAGAAAAATTCAAACTGAATAACAATACTTCCATTTTTTCTGCAGAAGCTATTGGTATTATTAAAGCCTGTGATTATGTCGATAAAAACAAGTTAAAAAAATAAATTTTTTGAGTGACTCATTATCTGTTCTTAAATGCATTGCTAACCCAATTAATGTGATGGCTACTGATACAAATCCTTTTATTAGAGAATTAAAAGTAAGAATTCATAATTTAAAAAAAAGTCAATATGAATTAAAATTCACTTGGGTAAAAGCTCATATAGGACTTCGTGGCAATGAAGTTGCAGACTCCTTAGCCAAAGAAAGCGTTACAACAGGAGAGCATATCCACAACAATTTAGGTGCTCAAGAATATTTAATGATATCTAAGAGTAATTTTAAGGCAAAATGGGAACTGCATTGGAAAAACTATTGCTCTAATAACCTCACACGATACACACTATTACATCCAAGTATTCCGACAGATTTTTATCACCAAGATTATGATTTTACAAGAAATGATATTGTGACCATATGTAGGCTGAAATTCGGACATGCAAGCTACCCTCAACACTTATATAAAATCGGTGTAGTCAACACCGAACTTTGTGAAACTTGCAATGTGGTTTGCGACTTAGATCACATTTTTTATGCTTGTAGTAAATTTGAAATACAAAGAGAAGAACTTATTAATAGTTTAATATTGCAAAAATTATACACCCCTTTCAATCTACTTTATTTGATATCATTAAATATGTACAAGGTATATAAAATTATTCTTAAGTTTATTAAAATGTGTAAATTAAAACTTTAGTGTAGGTATGTAGGTGTTAAGCTCGTTACCTACCTCTGTTTAGTCACCAAGTATTTTACCTTTTTACCTATACCTTTCGTGGTCTACACTTTCTGTCTGTGAGTCACCTTGAATGACCCCTAGGTGCGAAAAGTAATCCTAGTTCCTTCCCATTGTAATTGTTCTTTTAATTTCCAGAATTGTAGTGTATTTAGTTTAGTTAGATTAGGTTATTAAGTGAACGTTATTACACATTTGTTGCTGGCTAGATGGGCACTTAGCCCAATAGCCATAAAAAAAAACATAATTAGGTAATTTATTATACAAACGAACGCATGTCGGGTAAGTACTCTTGCCCAAAACGGTGAATTGACGAACAAGAGTCACCAAATGATTTCTGTAACGAAAATTGTAGCCAATAATTAAGGAAACATTATTTCAGCAAATAAAATTGCATCTATGTGACCTTACATAAACAACACAACTAAAAATATACAGCGAAACAAGTCTACAGGAATCCAAGTACCTTTTAAACGTCATGGTACGATTTTTTTTTAGGACAAGCACCTCATTCGCGAGCAATTTCCCCAACAAACTAAGCAATATTGCAAAATTGACTGTACATGAGCAAAATAGTAAAGCTTTAAGATATCTAGGAAGACGAAATTCCTAAATTACCATAGAACATAACAGCGCACAGACAATCTTCCCACTGCATAATCAACGTGAGAGCTCAAAGACAAATTAGAATCCAGGTAAGCACCTAAAAAAATTGTGGAGTGGCTATTTACCGCTGACCCATTGTCAAGTTTTACTAATGAACTCATCTGCATAGTAGAATGTGAAATGGTTACCATATTGGTATAAGATTCGGGCATCATTTAAACAGTAATGAGTCATACTTTTTACAAGACAGTTTGCTTTTTATACTGTATGAAAAAAATTATTGGAATTTAGTGCAACTGTGGCACTTTAGTCAGCAAATTGAGTAACATAGCATACCGATTGCTGTTTCACGTTTTCTACTCGAACATTTATTGCATCAGAAAATTATCAATTATTATTATTATTAGATAAAAATCAAGAATAAAAGATGGCCAATAATACTTTCCTGTGGAACTAGAGAAAGGAGTTCCATAGTTTTCAGTTTCTTCTGAAGAAGATTCCCATTCACATTGACCTTACTTTTTTGAAACCTTTTCGATAAAAAGGTGTGGATCCACTTTAACGCAGTTCCTCTAACACCACTATGATAAAGTTTTTACAGCCGATTTATGATGTGCCAAGCCTCAACCGTACTATTCTGCGCATTATGGACTATTGGGAATAGACTTTTAGGAAGTAAGATAATATTTTTGGCATCAAAAAGTGGATATTTTCTGTGAAATTCGTCAGTGAAAGCTGTACAAGAAATGTGATCAGAAAGACAACCAAAAATCGAAAGAATTTGTTACGAAAATTGGTGTTACACAAGGAGGGGTACTAAATGCTCTCTTCTTAATGGATAAAATAGTCAAAAAAGTACAAAGAAGTGTCAAGCAGGTTAGAGTTGGGGCGAAAAAATTACGAAAAATATTCATATCTGAATTAATCTATGCTGAAGGTTGAAGAAAGTTATGTCAGAATAGATTAAAGACAGATTAAGATGTATTTATTAAGCTTAATCATTACAAAATAAAAACATGATCTTATACATAACCATGTGCCACAATAAATTACTCACCAAGCAAATGTTGCAATTACAAAGTAGCTATGAACGGAATCCTCGCAGTGACATGTTAAAATTTAAAAATGTTATATTTGTTTTTTATATTTTCTCTTAAAGTGTTTGTTTTGTGATTGATAGATAGAAATGTTAGTCTATTAGATGTTTAATATTAACTTATAATATTTAGATTATATTTAGAACGTGTAATTGGTATATTGGTTGTACAATTTAGCGCATTTCAGCTAATTTCTTAGCTACACCTACAAATATGCACATGGTAATACTGAACGGTATAAAAGTAGATCAAGTCACGGGAAAAGACATTGCCGATGTTTAAGAGTGGCAAACTGTGGTTATATAGTTTAAGAAATAGTTGTGGGAAGCCTAACCGTTAACCAAAATGTCTGATGTATATATAGTTGGGGCTTGTAGGACTGCCGTAGGTATGTACTATTTTAACTAAAAATAAACTTTGCAATTGTTAATTGAATAAGTAAATTTGTCTCTACATTAAATATTATGCAAGATGTTATCAAAACTCTTGGAAAATAGTATATTGTTCAAATTTTTCTTTGTAAACCTTTTTCAATCCATTCCTGGATATAGGATTTTCCCAACTCTGTCAATCTTTCTATGTCCTGTAACAATCTTATTTTTCTTGGTCCATCACTGCTCTTATGTCGTCTAACTCAAACCTTTTTTTTTTTTTAAAGATAAAAATACGTTTATTGACGTTTCAATTTCCAATTCGGAAATCGTTCTCAAAATACAAACAGTAAATTAAACATATAAAATCAGAATTTTGATGTTTGTTGAAGGTAAACTAAATTCACGAACAAATACTTACAATGTCGGGATAGTATTATGAGGTTTTTTTCCTGGTTTTTCCCTCATAATTTACTATGGAATCACTAACAGAAGAATTTTACTGTCATCATGTCATGTGTTTGTCTTTTTAAAGACGA